CAAATGATTGTCTACATCCTTTTCCAAGATAATACATCAAACCTAACCTAAATTGCGCACCATTATGTCCTTGATTTGCAGATTTTTCATACCATTCAAATGCTTTTTCAAATGATTGTTTACATCCTTCTCCATTAAAATACATCTAACCTAAATACATGTTGAGCATTTACATGTTCTTGATTAGCAGCTTTTTCATACCATTCAAATGCTTTTTCAAATGATTTTTCACATCCTTTTCCATTATAATACATCAAACCTAAATTAAATTGAGCATTAGCATGTTCTTGATTAGCAGCTTTTTTATACCATTTAAGTGCTTTTTCAAATGATTGTTGACATCCTTCTCCATTATAATACATCAAACCTAAATTAAATTTAGCAACTGCATTTTCTTGATTAGCAGATTTTTCATACCATTCAAATGCTTTTTCAAATGATTGTTTACATCCTTTTCCAAGATAATACATCAAACCTAACCTATATGGAGCTTTTGTATGACCTTGATTTGCAGATTTTTCATACCATTCAAATGCTTTTTCACATGATTTTTCACATCCTTCTCCATTAAAATACATCCAGGCTAACTTAAATTGTGCTTCATCATATCCTTGATTTGCAGATTTTTCAACCCATTCAAATGCTTTTTCAAATGATTGTCTACATCTTTTTCCAAGATAATACATCAAACCTAACCTAAATTGCGCCTCATTATGTCCTTGATTTGCAGATTTTTCATACCATTTAAGAGCTTTTTCAAATGATTGTTGACATCCTTGTCCATTATAATACATCAAACCTAAATAAAATTGTGCATTTTGTGTCCTTGATTTGCAGATTTTTCAAACCATTCAAATGCTTTTTCAAATGATTTGTCACATCCTTCTCCAATTAAATACATCGAACCTAAATTAAATTGCGCTTCATTATATCCTTGATTTGCAGATTTTTCAAACCATTCAAATGCTTTTTCAAATAATTGTTTGCATCCTTCTCCTTGTAAATACATCTCACCAAACATATGTTGAGCAATAGCAATTCCTTGATTTGCAGATTTTTCATACCATTCAAATGCTTTTTCAAATGATTGTTTACATCCATTTCCAAGATAATACATCAAACCTAACCTAAATTGCGCCTCATTATGTCCTTGATTTGCAGATTTTTCATACCATTCAAATGCTTTTTCAAATGATTCGTTACATCCTTGTCCAAAGCAATACATCAAACCTAACCTATATTGGGCTTCATTATATCCTTGATTTGCAGATTTTTCAAACCATTCAAATGCTTTTTCAAATGATTTTTCACATCCTTCTCCTTTTATATACTTCATACCTAAATTATATTGAGTAACTATATTTTCTTGATTTGCAGTATGTTGAATAATTGTAGATTCTAAGGTTGTTTCGGTCACTTGATTCTTTAATTCCTTGACTTGGTTATCATGTCCAAAAGTAGAAATTTGTGACATATTGATTGTAGTAATTTCTAAATGTCTATCTATTGGATCTTCACTTAACATTTTCAAAATAATTGCAACCAGTTTCGATGAGTAATGGTTTAGCGAATTCAATAATTGATGATTGGCTTGGTTGGCTTGATTAAACGTCATTAGATAAAACATTGTTGCACCTAATGCATAAATATCAGAAGCTACTGAGTAGGGTTGTTTTGATCTCATTTCATCATTGTCCAAAACTAATTTAACTTCAGGAGCTAAATAAGAAAATGTACCGTAAATGTTAGATATTTGAGATGAAGGTTCAAATGATCTTGCAAATCCAAAATCTGCCAAACAAACATCAATTTCACCCTTGTCTAAATCGATAGATCTAATCAAAATGTTTGCTGGTTTGACATCTCTGTGAACCATTTTAAAACTTTTTTGCATAAATTGAAGTGCGCTTAATATCTGCTGAATGATTGAAATGGCTATCCTTTCAGAAGGCTTAACTCGTTTCCTAATGAAATGGTCGTATAAACTTCCACATTCCAAACATTCCATCTCAATCATCAGTGAACGATTATTAGTAATAGTAACATCATATATTTGCACAACATGTTTGTGTGCAACTTTCATTGTTTGCATTACTTCTTTCAATGCTTCGTTAACAGTAAAATCGTATCGATCTTCAATTACCTTGACAGCTCGCATAATACTTGGTTTATGCTTGAGCGTCACTTTATACACTTTTCCGTAACCTCCACTTCCCAGTAAACCAATGTTGTTATACTTGTTGTCAAATTCATTCGAAGTAATTTGTGGTGTATCTTTCTTGGTAGAGTTTGATGATGAGCTGCTGCTATTGCTTGACGATGAGGAGGAGTTAGTGATGAATCTCATCAACGCGCGTAATTGTAATTTGGTTAGATTTAATTCTTGCAACAGAGTTTCTTCATCACTGTTACACAAAATCCACTCATCACAAGCGTTATCTTGTAATGCTGATTTACCCAAAGTATTAATAATTAATAAATCACTTAGAGCAGCCTACCTTTTCTAATCGTGGGTGGACACCTCTGTTCCTCCAACCATTTAACTAATTCTTGACAATTTCGGTAACTTTTTTCATCATCTTGGGAAAGCATTTTTTTTCTTGTGACAGCATTGCACACCTTACCAGAGGACAGACTCATTGTAAACTGACTGGTATCAGATTTTTTAATTATCAACAGTTGTCCAAACAAGTTCCATAAACATTTTACTGTAACTTTTCAATCTTGTTGTATAAAAAAACTCAACCCGAGAGAGAATTCCCATCCTCCTGATGGTCAAAAAAACACGTTTAGTCATCACCTCAAACAATTCCTTTTGTTTTTTTAAAAATAGTTTTCAAGGTTCCTTGTTTCCATCCAAGCGAAAAAGACTCAAAAACTCGCTTCCATCGAAAAGCATTCCAATTCAATCACAAGAAAAAAATCAAAGCAACAACATGTTCCACGCCAGACCTCTCAATCAATCCGGTGTTTTTCAATCACCTCCTCCACAAACAACTTCCCAACAACAACAACAAACACCATCGTGGCCACTCACTTGCAACAAGTAACCGAACAAATCAAAAGATATGCCAGTGTTGCTGATAAGGATCTTTTGTTAGCTTGGAATGATGATCAAAATGAATGGATCCGTTTTGATACTGATTCCGAATTTAATGATGCTATGAATCATGCCAGACATTTGTTATCTGTGAATGGTGTTTTCAAGATCCAAGCAAAGGAAGGAAAGACTCCAAAGAAACAAACAAATCCTGTTGTTGAACAAACAATTGTTGTTGAGCAAAAGCCAATTCAACCTCCTGTAACACAACCTATTGTTCAACCAATTCAACCTGTAAAGCCACCTGTAACTCAATCACCATTTGTTCAACCTCAACCTCCTGTAACACAATCACCATTTATTCAACCAGTTCAACCTGTAAATCCATATCCTTTCCAACCAATGTATCCACAACAACCACAACAACCTTCAATTAGACCAGTTCAACCACCAGTTATGGCATTTGGATCCACTCAACCACAATTGCAACCATTTGCTATGAATCAACCAATGACTCAAGCAAGTGGAGTTCCTCGTAATGTTTCACCATTAGTTGCCACTACAACTCCAACAAAGACATTGACTAATAGTGTCACTATGCAACAACCACATCCACTCAATTCTAGCTTTAGCTCACCAAGTGTTACATCTCAATCACCAGTTCAACAACCACCAGTTGTAAATCAACCACCATTAGTATCACAACCTGTTCAACCACAACAATCAAATGTTGATCCACACAGTCTTGCCACATTACGTAGTTTTGGATTCCCAGTCGATGACAGTGTTTTAATCAAAGTTTTGCAAGAAACTAATGGTGACATTAACGCTGCTGTCACTAAAATGTTAGAACAATAAATTATTACTTTGTATTCAAGTTATAAGTTGCCTTTATTAAGAACACTGAATGTTTGAAGAGCTAGGCAAAGACATAGGCCACAGAAACGTTCACAAGTCAACCAAAAAAAAACAATGAAACGATCCTTACAAGATACTGCTTCACACAACAAGAACAAGAAAAACAAATCCGATCAAAATGCAACCACAGGACCAGTCATAATTTCTCTCGATATACATCACAAATCGAAACTTCTTCCTATTCGAATCCAAGATGTTCCCCAAGCTTTGAAAATTGAAATGATAATGAAACCGATATTCGAAACTTTTCACTTGAAACCTTCACACTTTCATCATGACGTTGAAAATTCCAACATAGAAAATTCTGATAACGAAAATTCAGATTCAGATGAACAAGACGAAAGTAATCAAGAAGACGAAACTAGTGATTCAGATTTGGAAGATGAAAGTGATGAAGAAAACCCAATGAAAAAACATTCCAAGAATTCACCCTTTCTAAATTTTCGAAATTCATTGAATTGGAAACGAGACGAAAAGTTTATTATTCAAGAAATTCTCAAACTCAAAGACGAAAACAAGTTAATTAGAATTGCAAAAGTGCTCAACTTGTGGGAGAACAAACAATTTGTGTTAAAAGCTGTGGAAAATTGGAAATTGATTTATTGGATATTTGAGAATATTCCTGAGGATAGAGATTTGATTTTGAAAGCTCTGGAAACAAGCAAATCGTATAATGGAACTGAAGAAATATTGAAATGGTCAGCTATTGCAAGGAATGACAAGGAAATTTTGATGAAAGCAGCTCAATATGATGGAATTGCTGTCAGATTTCCTTCACAAGATTTGAGAAATGACAAGAAATGGTTCAGAGAATTTGTTTTACAATGCGTGAAAACCAAAGGAACTGTTTTAGAATATTTATCAGAAGAATTTAACAGAGATGAGGAAATTGTAATGAAAGCTGTTAAGCAAAATGGAATTTCTCTTGAATTTGCATCACACGAATTGAGAAACCATAGAGAAATAGTTATGAAAGCACTTCAATCGAATGGAATGGCATTTGAATATGCATCTATTGAGCTACAAAATGAAAAGGAAATAGTTTTACAAACTCTAAACAGTTATAGATACTACTCTGGTTCTGTAATTGATATAATCAGAGGTTCATTTTGCAGTAATGACAGAGATGTCATGTTTGAAGCTGTCAAACAAGAAGGCATGGCTCTGGAATATGCTTCCTTAATATTGAAAAATGACAGAGATTTGGTGTTACGAGCTGTGCAACAAGATGGAAACGCAATTCAATTTGCATCCGATGAATTGAAACGTGATCGAGTGATTATTTTAGAAGCCATCAAGTCAGATGCCAAGAATCGAACAAAACGGCCATCATTTAAGATTTTGGCGTTTGAGTTCATTCCTAAAGAAGTTCAAAGTGAATTCATTGAAATAGCTCGTGCATTGTATAAAGATGTATTTAAGGTTGGAGGTTGGTGGTAGTCAACACAAGATGAAACTATAAAAATGTTTGTTAAAAATTTGGCGCCAGAAATAGTTTTGCATCAAGTAGAAACTAAACGAAACTTTATTGTAATCTTTAGGAGTTGATTGGATAATTTCTTCCCGATTTTTCCATCCTCAAAAAGAATGTCAACACATCTACACCACCTATCACTTATTTGCATTATTGTGTTGACATTTGTGTGTCACTTTTCATCATCAACAGAAATTAATTTATCAAATTATTTAACAAGCAAACTTCACACCAATTACATCAAGAATAATAACAATTATGCCATTCTCAGTGATTTACCATTATTTGTTTTTTACTGGCAGAAAGATGGCATTATGTTTAATGGATCAGTTGTGAGTGAATTTGTTGTGAATCCAATGGTGTTGGACGAAAGTAGAATAATTGGTGTGAGTTTAGCCGTACCTAATATTATAGTGGAAAGATCAACCATTCCGATGAGATACATTGTTGATGTGATGATATTTAATAATGACAATGCCTATGACATGTATTACAAAACAAATAATACGAATGATGATTTAACTGGATTTTCTACGAGTGAAATATTTAAGAATGCCAAATTAGATCAATTGGATGGTGGGTTGAGTAATATAGAAATTACATCAAATCAAGAGTTGACTTGTGTGGGAAAGGATAAATGTATTGTAAAAGTTATTGAATTTAGTAGATTGAAAAATACGACAGATGTTGAACATGATGTTTTCTTACCATCGAAAAAGAATGAGAGAGGAATTATGTTTTTGAATTTTGCAACTTGGACTTCAAGTGGTGAGAATGTACTTTCGAATATTGTTTTTTCGAATATGGGATATGGTTGGTTTGAATTTCAAAGTATTTACTATTATCCTGTAACTGTAACACTACAGGGATTGAGAATTACACATGGAATCTTGATGATTATTGGATTTTCATTAATTTTAGTGGCATCCATGTTGGCTGTGAGACATTCGGCTCGTTTCTCTGCAAAAATCAAAGGAGTTGCCACTCACATTGTTCTCTCAATTGTTGGAGTTGTTTGCATTGTCATTGCATTTATTTTATCACTGGTTGCTTGTTCACTGACAACGAATAGACATTTTGATAGTATTCACAAGTGGATTGGATTATTTGTATTTTTAGCATTGATATTATATCAATTAATGTTGACAGGACCATTGACAGCAGTATTTCATTTATTCTTTAAAAAGAAAGATAGTCAACAGGTGTCAGGAAATGGAAAATCAACAGAACAAGAATCATTCCTCAGAAAATCAAGTAATTTTAAAAAGATTTCAAAACAAATTTCAACATTTTTCCATATTTGGGGAGGAAGAATTATTGTTTTGGCTGGAATTTTGAATTTATACTTTGGAGTGCACGGAATTTATGCAACTTCTGAGTGGTTTATTGGATTGAGTGTTTATCTTTTGGTAATTCTATGTTTGGTAATATTTGCAGAGCTATTTAGTGGAAAAACATTTAGAAGAATTTTGAAGGGCAAATTCAAAAAGATTCTTCGTTCCAAATAAACGAAACTAATTTGTTTGAAATTAAATAAATAATAGATTTAATGTTTATTTACAGAAATACAGATATTAATAATATACAAATCTAAGGTAATAATTGTTTTAGACATCAATTTTGACAAGTGTCAACTTGTTACCTTCTGGACAAGTTATACAAGTGAAATCCAAACATTCTTCGACACAGGCACCTTCAAATCCCTTAACTCTTTCCAATGTTGATTGCAACTTTTCAGATGGAATGAAAATTCTTGGAGTTTTTGGCAAACTTGATTGTTGAACTTTCTTCTTTGGTGAAAGTTTGGCATTGAGCTTGAAACCCTTAATCTTGACATCATCAGGTTCTTGTTCAACAAATGTTGTGGATTGACCATTCTCAACAGAGTTTCCTTCTTCGGCAGGTTTAGTTTCAGTTTCTTCTGGTTGATTAACGACTTCAACTTCAAAGACAGTCTTGTAGAATGAGAGAGCTCTTTCCTTATCTTCATAAACGAGAGTAACTTCAATTTCATCATCTTCTTCACAACAAATGGTAACAGAGCTTGTGTTTGCAGATCCATCAGTGGCAGTGTCACTAATCATGGAAGATTCAATTTCATTGGATTTGACTTTCTTTGCTTGAGGTTCTTCTAATTGAGTGGAAAATTCCTCAGCAGCAACTTCTTGAGTATTATCATTAGTTTCTTCAGAATCATCTTGATCCACTTCTCTGACTCTCTTGTTTGGAGATTCCTTTGGTGTCTCACAAGTTTCGAATAGAGAAGCATATCCCTTACCAGTTGGAGTAGGAACAACTTCAGCAACCATACTAGCATCTGACACAGCCTCCTCTTCCTCCATAGAAGTTGTGCAACTAATCTCAGCCAATGACTCTGAAGCACTGCTAGTAGGAACATTAGTCAACATGGATGAAGTTTCAGCAGCCAAAGTTTCCATAGAATTGTTAGAAGTAACCTCATCAAGGCTTGATTGAGTTGGAGCAACAACCTGAGCCTCAACGTCAGTAGTAGCTTGCTCACTATCAAGGGTGGTAGAGGATGAGCCTTTAATCTCGGAAGAATTCAATTCAGCATCATTATGAGTATTATCATGAGTGGTAGTAACAAGGCAGTGTTCAACTTGTTCTTCTTGTGGAGTTGGATTTTGTTGTTCAATGGAAGACATTGTTAGAAGTTTTTGATTTGTTTTAGATTTGATTTTGAGTTATTTGTTTTGAGTTGGAAAATCAAGGTGTTGGTGGAGAGGCGCAATTTATAGGTTTGGAGAGTTGTATTTTAGTGAGTTTTTGTAAGGAATAGGCTTTTTTAACATGAAGGCTTGTTGGAGGAGGAAGGCTTTGAAATTTTGTGAAAGTGTAGTTGCCAAAAATGGAGTATTTTATGTGGACGAAAGAGTATTCGAAATGAACTGTGGAATAAAGAGAGTGAACATGTTATTTACAGAGTTTATTTACAGTGTGTTATTGCTCTTGAAGACTCTTTCGAATGGCTTCTTCCAAATCATCGTCATCATTCATTTGATTAGTGGTGGTGGAAGAATCATGTTGAAAATCTTGACGTGAGAGAGCCAATACTTGTTGCATCATTTCATCATCCATTCCTTCGTGTTGTGATTCTTGTTGAGATCCCAAAATTTGTTCCTGCATTCGAGTAATCCAATCGATAGGATTCGAATTTTCCTTCTTTTTAGGTGGTTTCTTCTTAATAGAGCTAGGATCAAAAGTTGCTGATAAGAGTTCAGCCTCAGATTGAGGTAATTCACCTCTCACTGCAAAGATTGAATATCCTTCCTGTTTCAATTGTTCAATGAAAAGTGAAATGTAGGTCTGTGAGAGATATTCAGGCTCATCCAATGTAGAATTTAAATTAAACCAGTGATTTCCGAATTTTCTAAACACAAACCAATGTTCTCTATGATTACAAATGTATGCATTTTCACTCCACGGATTTTCTCTATTTAATTCCGAATATTAATAAATAAAAATTGATCATCAATTCCAAAATTAATTTTTCATCAATTCCGATACAATTAATACATGATTGTATTTTTAAATATTAAATATATATTATTATAGTATATTAATACTAAAAAAACAAACCTCGTATATAAAGTAATTGATGGATGTCCTATTGGAATGGTTGTTAATCCCCACACTTCCAATGCAGCCTGAATTACTCCAATACTAAAATCACCTTCATCACTAACATTCTGACTACTTTTTGAATCATTGCCCTCCAATAAAGAACGTTCCTTCTGATCGAGTTGTCTGGCCAATTCCATCAAATCAACCTCGGAAAAGTAAGATCCCTGAAGGAGATTGTTTAATGCGTGCATGGCACATAATCTAGCCTCTTGTTGTTCATCTTTATAATGTTAAATAGTATTATTATTAATATTATTAGTATTAATCATCAATTATTCGGAAAAAGTGTTTACATACGATAAATGGCTTGTAACATTTTCGAGTTGTTTTTTTGATGATTTTAAAAATAGATGTCATTGTAATCATTTGATTCTTAATATGAATAACAATATTTAAAAATTACAAAAGATCTTTCAAATCACACGTTTGCGCTCTCCTCTTTAAAAATATTTAAAAAAAAATGCAAGATAATTATCTACAACATATTTTCTCCTCCACAATTTTACTACTTTTAATGATGATGATGAATTTACAAGTGGAGGCGGCATCCAATATGACGACAATTACTGCTCCGGGAATATATCAATATGCATATTTTCAGAATTGTAGGAATCCATCTATTGAAATGATATATTTTAATCATACTAACATGATAACTAATGAACGATTTCCACTTGATTTTTATTGTAATTCTACCTATGTTGCACAGACGTATGATGCTTCATCACCGTTTTCATATTCGATGTGGAATCGTCTGTTGATTCAGTCTTCACCAATGTATGACACATGCCAGGTAGTGGAATATATGGAAAATATATTGAATATTACATGTGTGGATTTATTGTGTGATAGTGGTTTGGAGGATTTGAGCTTAGTAACCTCTTACGGAGGATTGCAATTACATGATTGGATTAATTCGTGTCAATACTGTAAGCATGCAAAGGAATTTAAGACAAGGACCTTATTACAACAATGTAATCCAAGAGATTCAGTTGCTAATCTAATGATTAATCAATTTCCTTCAACAATTACTTATTGTGGAAGAAATAATTTTGGGTTTCCATTAGTAATCAATAATAGTGTGTTGTCTGGATATTCCAGTTCAGAAACTTTCTCATACTATTGTACATGCCCAGAACTTTTATTTTTTGCATTCAATTGTGATACAGAATTAGCATTGAATCAATTTTTGACTTTAATTAATTTTGCTATCATTATTTTTGAGACAATTTTAATGGTTTGCTTTGTATTTTTCGTCTTCTTACCAAAGATGAAACAGTGCTTCAAGACCAAGAGGTACCTTCCTATTTCTACTAGTTTATATTGCCTATTTTATTTACTCGTATTTAATATTAGCTTTTGGGTCGCTTCCTTTTTACCATCTGACTATGCAATAGCCAGAGGACTATTTGGAACTCTGAATACAGCAAGTCCAAGCTTTTTGATTATGGCATTATTTTCATGGGTTCATTACTGGATAAGAATAGTGTGGACTATACAAAAAATAAGAGGCATTCTCATTAAGTCAATTATTGTGCACTCTGTGTTATTCTTAATTGCTATTGGTTTTGGATTTGTCATTCCAATTGTATTTTTCTTCACTGTAGTTAATATTTTTAGAAATGCTTATAATATTATTATGGCAGTGCTGTCTTTATTATCAACACTTGGTAAGTGCTTTGAGAATTTTCATTATTAATATCATTTAGCATTTATTATTTCATCAATTTGGGCAAATATTAGTTTGAAAAAATTGACTGATGTTGAAATTACACATAACACTTTTGTAAGTAGTGATATTTGTAACATTAACTTAATTTGAATTAGTACTCCAAATTTGTAGTGTTTGTCTCAGTTTTACTGTTACTGATGGCATCATTTTTCATTTCAATTGTAGCATTAGAAAACGTAATTGGTGTTTGGTATCTTTTTTTTGGAACCATGCTTGTTGTGTTTGAGTTTTCAATTGCTATTGCATTGTTTTATTCAGAATATAATAACGACGAATTTAGATCATTCTATTATTGTAAAAGAGGTAGCACTGATTTGGAGTTCGATGTCTCTCTTTCAGAATCTTTAACTAATCAAAACGCTGGATATTCATCAATGAAGGATGAATCAATGGAAACTGCAAATAAGGATTCTATTACCTACTATACCAGTCAGAGCAGTGCTACTTCAAAGTAGTTATTTAGTAATGCTTTCACTCATCATAGTACTTATTGAAGGGATTATATTACCTTCAGGTCTAGGACCAATTTTTTAGCATAGGTACTGGATCTAGAATTTGCTTCTCGTGGATCAGTAACTTGCAGTAGATCTGTTAAAAAGTTTGATAATTCATCACACGACAAGTCATTCCTTCCAGAAAACTCTACATTTCTAAAACGATCCAAAACCAATAACAAATCTTCCACTTCCACAGCAACATCCTTTCCATTCCAATAATCATTATGGAATATTTCAAATATTTTGGAATATTCTGCATACTTATTATTCTTTTTAGAGTTTTCTAATTCGTACAACCATTCATCATTATCAGTATTCTTCTTATCAATTAATTCATGTATCCTCACTCTCTGCTGTTTCATTTCAATAATATCAAGTGGACGATTAATATACTTATCAAGTGGCATATTTTCTGAATCTGTTACTATTTTAACATCATACTTGGAGGCAAATTCTGAATAATTCTTGGTATGACTTTTGAGTCGCAAGATTTAACAATCTTTAAAGCAATGTCAACTCCTTTCTCATAGGTTTTCTCATCTAAAGAGTTGGAAGTTAGTGAAATCTGAATCTCTTCACATGAAATGACATGTAAAGTTGCTTGATTAACCTTTACAACTGTTGATATTGCAGAAATGAATCCCTTGAAAAAGTTTGAAATGTAATCCACCTCTTGCTCAACTAAATTCTCCAATTTAGCATGAATGAATACTACCCCTTTCTTGCTGTAACCCATTTTGAAAAGCGATTGATGTTGATTCTTGAATGAACTCTTATCTGAAGAATGTTTGGCCGTCATTGCACTTCTGGAGGATGAAACTGATTTTCTGGAGGATGATTCAGAAAGGTGATCATTCTTTTCTTTAACTTCCTGTCCTTTATGCAATTCAACTTCCTGGTTTTGTTTGATTTGCTCAAACACATAATCTGGAATGAAAGATTTGATTTCCTTGAGCCATGAAACTGTATCATATAGATTGTTAAAGATTGAATCAACTTCTCTGAACATGGATATCTTACTCAAATTAACTGCTTCCAAATCTAATATTCTAATTGATTCAAATTGATTTTCTAAGAATTTCATTGGTCGAGAAACAATCCAACCAGTGCACAAACTTGCAGTAATACCAAATATGACAATCACCACTGTGACACCAACACTCACGGAAGAGCTAATCACTAATGCCTCGTTCACATCAGATTCATACAAGACAAAGAAAATATTCCACTCTAAATTCTCATATTTAAACTTGATTGGAGTGATAATATATCCAACTCCATCACTGCTTAACTTCATATTCTCTGGGAAGGTTAGGAAAGTATTTCCATTATTCTCATAGAATTTCTTAATCAACTTTCCAGCACCTCTGGTTTCAATATCAAAAATATGAGCAGATGTCAGACCATCATTGACGGTTGTGTTTATGGAACCACCAATTACCAGTCCAGAGTTTAATGTGACTACTACATAACCGTCACCTAAGAGTTTAATCTTGGATAGATAATTGACAATGGAATCAAGAGAAAGATTAATCTTTGCAAGCCCAATAATTCTCTTTTGCTTTTGAGTTTTCCACAATATTTGATCGTATACCCATTGTGCATAATAGATTGTCATACTAGCACCTGGTGCAAGATAAGGATCTCCCAGAACACCTTCTTGCCCAGTCTGTTTAGTATATTTAGAAAGATAAATCCAATAGTCTTGGTCAACCATGATAATTGGAGTGTAAATTACTTGGTATTTATATTTAATAACATCTCCTGTTGTGATATTAATCATGTCACGAATGGAACCTATGAAACCATAAGGTTGTTGACTATAAACTGAAAAGTTTCAAATTCCTTCCATATTCAAAAAAGAAACAACTTACCTACAACTGGATTACTTGCAGTACCACTCACTGTATAAGTGTATCTATAAGAATAGGTATCATTGAAAAAGAAACCACAACCACTCGTTTCAAATTGTTGGAATTTTGGAAATAAGTACTCTCTCAATTGAGTAAGATTAACCGAGCCAGAATTCCAATCTTTGGCCAACATTTTCGTAAGTTTTGCAGCTGGGTCCAGATAACCAGTCAAACTCTTAATGATCTTTTGACCAGATTCTTCAATAAACATGGCATTCAAATTTTCTATTGAATTGCTAGTAACGATAAAAGACGAAACCCAAACGAATATGCAACCACTCAAAATCAATAAGGAAATGGTGCAAACAATGAATAAATTTAAGGGAACTACTCCTTGATAGAATTTTCTTCTCTTTTCTTGGAGAAGCAGTTGCTTGTCAGAAACGTCAATTTCTTGGGAGCTCAGTACAGTATTAACCTCTGGTGACACTTTCATTTTTTTAATTATGGATTTTGAAAGAAACTGACATTGTTCAGATACAAGATGTTATCTGATGAACTCTTTACTAAAGTGGCGGGAAACAAAATAACTTGGAATGCATTCCTTGTTATTCAAAAATAGACAGAATCCAGGTTAACCAATCAATGCATAACACAATCAAGTAACCTATTTCAATAGCTATTGAAACTCCAAAACAGAAATGAATTGGAATCGATGAAAAGCATTTTCTATCCAAACAACAATAGATTCCGAATAATCCTCTCGATCCTCCTCCTCTTCCTATTCATTTATTATCATGATCAATTATATGCCGTGAATGGTCAAGAAGAATATTTTCCAATCTTTTCCGGTTGTAATCATTCATCACCGTACATGTTTAATCCTGTTGAGTTTGGGAAGGGAACATTCCGAGAACCAAAGATACCACTCTCTTTTGAGTGTAATTCAATGATGATTTATACAATTCAAACTATTCAACAAATACAGGGAAAAAGTGGTGAATTTAGGGTTGATTCGTATTTTGGGGATGTGGATGCTTGTATGCAGTTGAATTATTGGGAATCGAGACTTAATAGGACGTGTATTGATTTGTTGTGTGATTATGATGGGAAAATTGAGAATTTACAGGAATATTTAATGTTAAATACTAATGGAACGAATAATTTAACAGATTGGATTAATGGATGTCAGTATTGTCTTGGAAGAAGTGAACATTTTAAGAAAAGAGTTTCTGCTGGGAGTTGCCAATCGCGAGATCAACTCTCCAATAGAATGATTAGTGAATTTCCAACATCAATTTATTTTTGTGGAACTCAATCATTTGGAATTCCATTTCTAGTACAATCGAATAGTTTGTTTGGAAAATATACGAATGATTTCCTGTATCTGTGCAGTTGCTTTTCAGGTATCCAAATGTTACTTAGGTGAAGATTCAAACTTTGACATGGCATCAATTTACTTTTTCTTTGCTTCTTCATTAGTTCTCTTTATTCTCAATACTTTTATAAGTATCATTCCAAAAACAAAGAGAATGCTCAGAGATAGAAAGTATCTGAATATTATACCAAGTATTTACAATGGAATATTTGTAGGATCTTGGAGTATTTGCTTTGGAGTTGTGTTATTTTCAAATTCGCTCATTATTTTTATTTTCTTAATTGCTTATCAATTGTCTTTCAACTTTTTACAATTGGCCATATTTTCATGGTTGTCCAATTGGATTAGATTAGTTAGACATAGTCCTTTATCATTGAGAGCTACAATTTTCCTCTATGTAATTCCATTGTTTGCCTCAATCTCATTTGGAGTTATTCTTCCTTTTATAGTTGCCTCAATCTATACTCAAAATGTTTATGCAATTTATTTTGTAAATGCTTTGGAATCTTATTTATTAGGAGCTTCTATTGTTAGTGTGATTGGTATGTTTCATGGATGAATTGATTCTATTAACTTTTACAAGCAATTATTGTCTCATCTGTTTGGATTTATGTTGAGATGAGAAAGATTTCTGATATCAATTTGATGCAATCACCAGTATGTTTCTCTATTTTTCTTTTATTAACTGTATAAGTTTTTGAAATTTTCCATTTTTGTAATTGTTGCATTTGTTCTGGTTTGTCTTGGATATTTGCTCCACATTCTCTGCATTAATTCAATCATTGACGATAGGTGGTCCTCAGGTATCTACTCTCTAGTTTCTGCTCTATTCTCCATCGTTTCATTAGGTTTAATCATTGTAGAATTTGATTCAGTTGAATTCAAAGAAATGTACCTTCCCTGTAAATTCAAGAGACAGTCAAATGTTAATAGTGATAATTATATAGATAATATTCCCACCAAAGAAGAATCACTTCCTCTCACCACCACATCAGACGACATTTCACCACAGAACTGAAATAGATCTATAAAAAGCCTAAAAAAATGACGAGACAAGGGAAGATCACACCCAGCCCAGCATTGATCACAAATAGGAAGAATATTATTGTTGTGTTTGCGGAAATAATTGTTCTATTATTCATGATGATTAACAAATCATCAACGACTGAGTGGAATGAAAATTATACACAATTAAATTCCTTTGAAAATTGTAGGAATGCCTCCGAATTGATGACCAATGGTGCAGAATTAAGAAAACATGCATTAAATTCAGAAGAAATTTCACCCTTCTTTTCATGTGAAAATGTAAAACTAGCTAAATATTATGAAATGAATATTCATGTAAAGTTCTATGAATTTATTAATGATATTGCACTGCTTCCGAAAGAGAGTTTTGATATTTGCCAAAGTGTGAAACGTTGGGAGAGAATTATGAATAGTTCGTGCACTGAATTGTTGTGTGATCGGTCGCAGATGATGTTGAATAATGGAATTGGTTCTTTGAATGATTTTATTTACAATTCAACGAATGGAGAGACCATGTTAACTGATTGGATTAATGCATGTCAATATTGTGGAGAGGAATCGAGGAATTACAAGAGGAGAATCTTGGAAGGTACATGCCAGCCGAGAGATTCAATTGCTAGAGAAATGATTCTTGGATTTCCAAGATCAATACTCTATTGTGGATATACAATCTTTGGATTTCCCATTTTGGTTAATAATAGTCAAATTGTGAAGAGTTCTTTATTGGGAACCTATTCCTATATATGCTCGTGTGTGGAGAGCAAATCGTTTGGACCCAAATGCACATTTGGAATGAATGATATGATTGCAAATTTAATAACGAGAATTGGTGTGACATTTACACATTTCATTCTCTCTGTAATTATCTTTTTTGCAGGTTTTATTCCAAAATTAGGAAAAGTTGTCAAAACTAAAAGGTTTGCTAATTTGATTCCAACCTCTTGTGTTGTGATTGGATTTCTATTTCAGATAATAGCAAGTGTGCAGATTCTGGCATCAGATTCTTATTCTAAGACTACCTTGATTTTTGCAGCTCTTTCTAATATTATTTCTATATTCGGTTTATTTGCTTGGATTTTCGGCTTGTATAGAATTGTTGAGTTAGCGAGAGCTCGTAAAATAACTATTTCAGTAAGAGTTTGCTACATTTTCCTAGGTTTACTCTTTTTTACAGTTGGAATAATTTCACCAATAGTTGCCTCTGTTGCATTTCCAAATGACATGGGACAATTTCAAATGTTCTATTACATTTACTTGTCAGTTTTTTCATTTGCGGCCTTGTGTGGTAAGTTCCAAGCCAATTTGAAAAATTAACATGAAAAATCAAGTATTTATTTGTGCCTCACTTTATACTCATCGAGTAATGAAACAATTATCAGATATTAACCTAGTGCAAACAAATGTAAGTAAGCTAATATTTTGGAATATGGATTTAAATGATACATGTAGCATGTTAGATTTATCATTTTCTCATCAGTAATTCTATTTGCCATTTCCTTGTCCTATGCTGTGTTGGCATTGTCCCAACCAACTTTTATTGGACCTGGTATTTTGACTTTCATCTCATTATCAACCTATTTGAGTAGTACTTTGCTTGGAATTGGGGTGGCCTTTATGGAATTTGATAAGGAAGAATTTTTAACACTTTACAAATGTTTCAATAAGGAAAAGTCAACAAATTCCTGTGAGACGTCAACACTCACCACATCTCTGAATCAACAAACATCGGAAGAGAATAATACTTCATCCTATGAACCATTCGAATGATCTGATGACAATTCAAGTTTGATATATAATTTAGTGTTGGCACGAATGACATGAGCTCACAAACTTAGATAATTGGCAATTAAAGTTCTTTTGATTTGTGTTTGTGAATATGTGAATGAGTAAAGATTGGAATAGAGAGTTAGAATGAGGAATTTAAGATAAACACTTTTATTTTAGCAATTGTTTTGCATTTATTTTTGAGTGAATTCATCGATTGTAAGGCGGCTTAGCACAGTGGCAGTGCATCAGTCTTGTAGGCAGAAATGTCGAGATAACTGAGGGTCGAGGGTTCAATTCCCTCAGTCGCCTTTTACCAATTATTGCCAAATTAAGGTGATTATTCTTTTTTTTTTAGAAGATGTTAATAAGACTTTTTTTGAATTTCATATATTTTTGACCTAGCAAAGGATTCTCCTGGTCAATCAAAAAATCTGCGACTCTTTAGCCATTTTCAGATATTGATTGGTTAGTTGATTGAATTGAAGCGCCTTCGTTACTTGACACTCCATCCTTTCCAAAGAGGGTAACTCCAAAATCGTGTGTACTGGTGGCGGTAGATGATTTCTGGTACTTTTTTTGGTTGTTGAGGTAGCCAATTGTTGCTGGGGGAGTAAATAAAAGCCAGCCACGCCAATGGTTTCCCGCCACGCCAAAACCTATTTGCCCGGGCCAACATTAATTGGCCGCTCCAACAAAACAAAGCTAATGCTAGTCATGCCAATATGCTTAGTAGCATTTCTACTTCTCTTGTTACCTTATACACCACATCTGCATCATTAAATGAGTAATATCTTCTTCTGTGCTTGGTGGTATGTGGTATGTTGTTGGGTTCTATGACTTTTCTTCTTGTTGGTGGAGTTTCCGTTTTAGGTCTTGGCTGATCTCAGCGGAAGTTCTGATATTGATTGAGGATTTGATTTTGGTTTGGGCAGTATAATATCTTGGCTGGCTTTAATTATTGCAAATCTGAAAGGGTAAAAGTACGCTCAAGTTCTTCTTCTAATTCTTCTTCTGTCATCTTGACCATTATTGATGATTTTAGTTGCAAACAAAATCCTTATCATGATGTTACATTTCTGATAATAGGTGAGGACAACATGTTTGCCAGTAATTGATCAACTTTGACATTAAGAAACGATGAAGAGTGGTTTGAAATTCTTTAAGAAGTTCTCTTCCAACAGATACAACAATGTTCGGCTTCTTTGGTTGAGATTTGGTCTAGGAGAGTGTTGATGAACCAATGATGAGTTGGAGGATGAGAGTGTGGATGAAGTGCATTCGATTAGTTTTCGTAGGCTTGGGACTTTGATTAAGTGAACAATAACGGAGAGCAACAACTCAATTTCTGTCTGAAATTCCATCCCAAATCAATGAAGAAACAATTCGCACTGTATCAAGCTGAATACAGACTCCATATTGAATGATGACAAAATCAGTCTTCCATGTTTTTAATGTTGACCGGTAGAGGCCTCCTGCTACCTTTGCGCCTGTAGCAGTTGAGGCGGTCAAATGTTGTTGGTGCGGCGAAATGTTGTTGGTGGCCCGCCCAACCATTGGTGGCCCGCTCAGCCATTGATTGTACTGAATTCCCTTTGGTTGCTGAAGGAATCATCTGATGTTGGCAGATCCAAACTCAGCCGAAACCTCCAACATACCCATTGACCACCATTTACTTTGGACTTACCCTTACATGTAACATCATAATAATCATGAAAAACATTTGAAATTTGAAGAAACTCTTTGAATACATAAAACGAAATGAAAAAAATGTCTATTCGAAAGCTTCTTACTTTCACAACAGGATTAACACTTGGTGCCGTCTCTGCTGATTATCTTCTCGTCAAGAAATATTACAATGTCAATTATTGTTATGAAAATGCTGAACATGACTTGTTAGGAACTTTTTCACAGAGAAATCCAAGTGAACCTTCATTGTGTGGAATTGATCATTATAGAACATTTATTGAATTACCAAAAGATGGAAGTTTTACTATTGATCAATTGGCAAATTCATTCTTTTCCAATCCATTGTTTAGAACACAAACTAGAATATTAGATAGTCAAGTAACAAGTGAACAACAAGTGGACGAATGTAAATTTGATATTGGTGATAAGGTATCTGAATTTAAAGTCATTGAAAAGAATCAGAATGAAATCATGTTCAGATCAAGTGATGGTTATTTATTGTGGTTGAAATTAGCCAATGAATCGAATAAGAAAGTTCAACTAAACTTTGGAAGTTCCATGATGAGTGATTCACCACATGCCAAATTACCACCAGTAGTTGATAAAATTATATTGAATTTACATTTTCTCTATGCAAGATATTTATTAGCCTTTACAAAGAAACAATTCACTTCCAAATTTGTAAAACAATAATTATCTCAACACATCCTTACTCTCATCACATTCCGAAAATTAAATTATTTTATTATTTAATTAAAAATAATATATTCTTAATCAGAATGATTCCATGGATTCCTTGATTTGCCAATCAATTCCGTAAGTAATACAGGTTCACCAGGTTGGGTGAATCCTCATCAAAGGCTTGTTTTTGTATAATTGTATACATTACAGCCGGGAGATAATAGATAACAAAATGATCTCAACATACAATTGAGTATGGAATCAATCTGTTTTGTCTTCAAGATCATTTCCATGGATTGAATCTTTATCGCGCCTTTTTTTGATACTCTTTCTTATCACCTTTTTTGTTCGTTATTCTCCTAGTGGTCATTTTTATGCCCATATTTGTCTCATTACAAAAAAACGCACAAATGGTATTTCACATTAGAATATTCAACTTGGTTGTAAATTCTCCAAAAAGCATAACTGCATCGTTCATTGAACCATTTCCACGCATGCAATTGGACTATAAAACCCACTTGCTTTTTAATTCTCTAACACACAAATTCAACAAACAAAAAACAACAACAACAACAATACAAAATGCAAACTATCGAAGAAAAGCAACTTTTCACTGACTTGCAATATAGATTCAGCTATGTTACCAAATTTATTGGTTTTGGTGAAGAAGATATCAAGTATATTCATGAATCTGCTACAGTTTTGGCTCCTTTGGTTCCAACTGTTGTTGATTTGGTTTACAAAAAGTTATTCAGTTTTGATGTTACTAAAAGAACTTTCCTTGTTAGAAATGATCAATTTGAAGGAAAGATGGAAGAAAATTTGGATGAATTAGATGATAAGGCTAGTGAACAAATCAGATTCAGAAAGGACATGTTGAGCAAGTATCTTGTCAAGCTTGTCACTGCTGATTATACATCAAAGGCTTTTGTTAATTATTTGGATTGGGTTGGTAAGATTCACACTGCCAAGGCTGGTAATAAGGATATTATTATTGATTATATTCACATCAATGCCTTATTTGGTTATGTTTCTGATGTCTTGTTGGGAACTATTGCTACTTGTAAGGATTTGAGTGAAGAACAAAGAGTCAAGACATTGTTGGCTTTCAACAAGTTGTTGTGGATTCAAAATGATTTGTTTGCCAAATATTATGTTGATGATAATTCAAGACATGGAATTGTTGAAAAGTGTGATAAGTGTCCTGTCAGTGGTCAAACTGGAACTGGTGGATGTATCTTTGCTAACAAGCAATAATTGTATTATATTGAAAACTAACTAATTTATTTGCGTAAAACTAATAAAAATTTTGATAAAATTCTCTAAATATTTCGAAAAGACTTTAAGTCATTAAATAGATTGTATGGTTTTGCATTGTGATTTCGCCAAATGATGAAACGTGTTTCTCATTTTGCTTTGTTTTTAAGCTGGTACCTAATTTACCACAACAGCCAAATATTTCCTAGGTGTCCAAGATTTCAGGATGAAGTACATCATTTGGTGATGGTGAAAGGGTTATTCAAAGAATCTATTGTATGTCTACAATATTCAAAGGATTGCAATGTGGTGGTGTTAAAACAACAATTGAAGGAGAATCCCAATAATAGTGCGCTTTTGTTAGAATAGATCTGGTTTTATAGAGAAAAAAGACTACAGCACCACAGGTTCCCAAGTTGTCTCCAACCTCAGTACTGATGTGGCTCGACGATGCTTAACTTCTCAAATCGGACGGGATGAGGTGCATTCATCGTGATATGGCCGTAGCCATTCATTATGTTAATTTCTGAGTACTAAATCTTTTACAACACCTAGGATTGTAAGGAATTTTTCTTAATCAAGATTTTAGTTTGTTCTTCACCATATCTTTCACCATACCAGATCCAAAACTTAATGTTTTTCGTTCAAAACCTGACATTAATTCTCTCATTCTCTCGTAAAACTCATCCTTCTTGTTTTGTTCTTGTTTGTCTCTGGTGTACTCTTCTTGGAATGCTTTCTTTTCAATTTTATTCGGGAATCCAACAACTAGCATTGAACTCAACTGTTGTATAACCTTAATAGATGTGGGCAATAAAAAGTAATCATGTTTGTAGTTGCAATCTTCAAATGAAAGGAATGCAAAATCATTAACTGACTTCCAACATTCGGCTCCCCCCATCTGTGCACACTCATCCATTCCAACACTTTCTTTTACTACAGGCCGTAAGAGTTTCAACCACGGGTTGTTTGGAGAGAAGTGATTAGTACTTGCTTCGGGAGAGAAATCAATTAGAATGGATGTTAAATTAAATGCATTTCCATCTAAATTCCTTGTTGGTTTCACAACATGTTGGGCAGTTACCAAATGTCTTGGTGAAATACAAGGCTGTTCCTGTTGAAACATGTTTTGACCTTTGATTCGAATGTGTGTAAATGCAAAAGAGACTACCCACTGCTTGGCCATGGCTTTCTCATAATAAGAGGGATAGTGCTCGAGAAATGATTTTTCCATCTCATGGTGGTTGCCAAAGGTGTGTAGATTTGTTGTTTTACGACCATGTTCTCAAAGAATAGGCTGTCCCCTCCATCAACAGTTGTTTCTGAGCTGTCTTGCACACCACAACAAGCAGGTTCGTCTTCGATTAATTATTAAATTTCAGGAAGAAAAGTTGTTAAGCTGTTTACAGATAACTACAGTTTATTAAGAAAATACTTTAAGATCATAATAAATAGCTAATCTATTTAGTTGTTTACAAATTTCAGTCATCATTAAAGAAATCATTCCGAAAGAAAGTGTTACCAATGACTCTTGATGTTCTCTTAATATTTCGAATAGTAGTAATTACCTTTTAAAATACATGAAATACATTGTAATTAAGGAAATGAACAGAGTAAATAGAATTGATAAACATGCTTGACCATCCTTGTTTTTTCTTGAAGAAGGTTCAAGAGAGAATGATTTGAATTTTAGCTTTTCCAAATTTATCATTCCTTGAAATACCTTGTCATTTGTGATGTCATTGAAACGGACATCAATATTTCTCAAACTTTCCATGGAAGCAAATAGTAGTGCTCCATTATCTGTAATCTGATTACTTGAAATGTTGAGTTTTGTCAGTTGAGGAAGACAAGTTATATATATGAGATCTTGATCGCTAATAGAATTATTAGAAATGTCCAGTTTTGTAAGATGTTTCAATTTTCTAATTTTCTTGATACTTCCCAATCCATTGTAAGAAATATCAAGACTTGTCAAATCTGGAAATGTGTCAATCAAGTACTTTAGTCCTTTCGTTTTAATTGTATTGTGTGAAACACTCAACTCTGTCAATGAGTGTAAATCCTTCAATTCTCTCAGCTCATAAAATCCATTATTGATAAATCTTCCGTTAATATTTAATGATTTCAATCCTGCTAATGATTTAATATATTGTAGTGGAATCGTCCCATTATCTCCAATATTAAGAGAGGTCAAATGAGTCATTTTACCAATTTCTTGCAAATATTCTTCATATAATTCAGTATTTGAAATATCCAATGATGTTAAACTTTTCATATTTGTAATATATTGAAGAGTTTTATATTGTAATGACATTCCACTAATTCCAAAATCTTTCAAATTTGTTAAATTCGTACAAATTTTGCAAATCTCTTCATTTGTGATATTTGAGAAATGTGGGATAATATTCAAACTTTCCAATTGTTTAATTTTCATTAAATAAACAAAATCTTTCTTTTCAATTCTGCACTTTTTCATGGAAAGTGATTTTAAATTTTTCATATTCGAATAAATTTTCATAAAATCTGTTGATTTGATTGTCAAATGTGAGAATTTTAATTTTTTAATTGATGATCCTGTAAAACCCCACTTGTGATCAATTTTATCCGAAACTAATCTCTTCCACCACTTGTTTAATTGCTGTGATGTTTGATTTAGTTTAATAGAAAACGAATATCTTGTCATTCCAATACGAAACCATTGCTGGCAAACAAGAAAGTTGGCAAGCATGTGTTTCTGCTCTGAATACTTGAACACTTCAAAACAAATATCATCAGGAAAAGCAACACTTTGAAAATTCATTTTTTTTTAAAGTTGACATGTAATTGAAACTAAACAAAGCCAAACCACGTGCAGAGGGTTACACCAGGCGAAATAATGAAACTCTGAACACAGTGTGTTCTTTACTGCTGTGAATGGAATGGTATTGAATAATAATGTATAGAATCCTTAATCAATATGAAATGTTGGACATTTAGCAGTGCGCTTAATACATGCCCATTCAATCAAATCCCTGAAATCAAACCTCTTTACAACAATGTTGGATAATAAAATTGATTGTATTGCCATTACTTTATGTCCGCTAAAGTCCATCAAATCTTCCAATTCAAATTGATAGCAGTCGTATCATGATTTGAAAAACACGTATTTTAACACACAGCTCAATCAATTTTATCTAATTTTAAACTCAGATAAATTGAAGAGATTGAGAGAGAACATTGGAGAAAATCAACAAAACAAAACAAAACAAAACAACAACAAATATATCAACTACAAAATGTTCGTCTTTCTTGCAGGATTTGCCTCAGGCATGTACGTTTACAAGAATTATGATGTCGAGAGAATTTTTGAAGATGTCAAGCCAAAGTTTGTAAAAGATAGTCAGAGTGGTGAAGGTGGAATGTGGCAACAATTAAAACAATTCGAACAAAAGTATAGAAAAGAGAATGTATCATCAACATCATCTTCGAATGAAAAATAGTCCGCATTCCTCAATTAATTGATTCAATTTCACTTCTGTATGTGATCTAAGAGAGTACTACTATTTATCTGTATTAAATAATGTAAATAAATTAATCCAATCCAATATGTATTATATATTTGAATGTTCAAATAAATCAATAATAAATTTATACCATTTCATCATCACTGTCACTATAGTCACTGTCATAACTTCTTCGTCTATCATTTGGTGGTCTGTGAGATTGGTCTGGGAGTACGTGAGTGAATGTTTCCTTTTGCATTTCAATAATAGTATCGTATGGTAATACTGTTGGATATCTGAAACCATCAGTTCCAAGATTGTCAGGTATTGGGAAAGGCCATTTCCAAACTGTTCTTCCCATCACCTGTTTGGCATTTTCCATGAATGAAATATTGTAAAAATTGAGATATTTCAAATGTTCAGTGTTGAGTTTCTTCATACGAGCTCTATTTCTCTTTTCAGATAATTGATAATTCTCAATAGATGTTTGATTCAACAAGATTAAATAAGTATTCCAGCCCCAGAATAAATAAATCATGCATGACATTGGTACCAAAAAGACGTTAAATACAAGTGTTAATAGAAAAACTGCAACATCAATATTTTGTGAATCCTTAATAAACTCAATGACAACAAAAATTGTAATTCCAAAAAAGTGAGTAATTGCAATAACTTGAAACAATTAATATAACTTTCATCAAACTCCTTACCTAAATAAGTTAAAAATAAATAGAAATATTTGTGGTTGTACAATCCAACACAATTATTAACCCAAACACAATAGTGATCCATTCTCAAAACAACCTTCTTTTGAACTGATGAAAAGTGAGCTCTAGGAGGTATTATCATTCCAGTTTTTGAACAATATCTTGGTTCTCCATTCTTTTGTGGTTCCAAACTGAGAAGAACTTTTAATTCTTCATCAGAGAATGTTTCTTGCCAATTATTTGAAACTATTCCGGGATTTGTTTTCATACATCTGAAATAACTGAGTAACAGCATACTCAATTCAAACAATCCAAAGATTTGATTCAAAATATGAACAATTATCATAATGTTGGTTGATTTTACAGGATTGAAGAGAGGAAAGGCGAATGGAACAATGACAAAAGCACCAACAAGATAGGCACCAACAGAGAGTGATGCAACAACTCCAGGTAACAGAGAAGATTGACAACATTTGACAAATGATGAACAACAATCATCCTTTTTTCTTCTCTTTGAATTATCTTCCTCGAGGTGAGGATGATTGTGAAGGAGAGGTTGAGTGTCCTTGTTGTGATGGCGATGTTGATGTTGATGGTGATGATCATGATGCTGGCAACCATGACTACAATTTTGATTGTTATTATTGGCAACATTGATCGGAGTGTTATTATTAACTGATGATGATGTATTACTACTATTATCTTCAGAAATGGATAATGGTGAAGATGATCCTGCCTGTGGATTGCTATGTTGTACATTCAATGTTAACAATCCTCCAACAAGAGGTATCGAGGCATTATGGGTAAGTGCACTCTTGTCAATTACGAATTTCATTTTTTTATTTAAATTGATTTGTATTGGAACAATTTAGAATGGACTAATTGTTAATCTTATCCATCCACAAAGAAGTAATAATGTGAAAAGAGTAAATCATTGATAAGTAATGACATTAACGGAATAAGAAAGAAATTGGGAGAAAATTTATTGCATCTTGATTTCCATGACCTTTTCAATGCCCATAGCAGCAACGAGGATGACGTTGAATTCATCACCATTGTCATAAGCAGCTCTAATCTTTTCAGTCAAAAGCTTATCTTCATCAGTTTCAGTTGGCAACTTAATGTCTTCACGAGAAGAACCATCTTCAAGCATAAGATGGATGAAATCACCATCAATAGCGAGGACTTGATATTCGTTTCTTGCGACGTTTGGAACTGGCATGTTGTGGGAAGTTGGACAGACATCTTCATACTTTCTACCAGTGAAAATATCAATACCAGTAATATTGGCCTTAGCGTGACCGTGCTTACCAGTCTTTGAGGTGGTGACTTCAGTAATCTTGCAAGGTCTTTCCTTGATGACGACGTGACCGCCCTTCTTCAAGTTACCACTGTGATTTTACATGTTAAAATGATTTATATTGTGAATATAATATTATATTTGAATATTGTTATTTTTCTCATGATCATAATATTAGAATACATACGCTTGCATTGGGAAAGTGTGGGAAGCACCAGAACCAGCTTGTTCGAATGTAGTATCTTCGTCAGACATGTTGTTATTATTGAGGTATTTTTTTGAAACGAGTTTTTCCAACGCAAGTCTTTGTACAACCACGCGTCAGAATTTACAACGGCTCGTCAACCGCTCATTCGTATTGGACCACGCACCACATCAAGCTATTTCATAATGAATCTTGAACAACACAAGGGAAGAGTTTTTTTTGGCAGAAGGTTCTTTTACAGCATACTTGCAACACTTCATTCGTTTGGAATCAATTTTTGTTGTTCCGATATGAAAAATAACACAAAATTTCATCATCAAGAATTTTCATCATCACAATTTTAAAAAAATTCAAAAGAGATTTAATAAGCAGTTCCCTTATCTATCTTATTAGAGAATAATATTAATAATAATAAATTAGAGATTTATGAAAATATTTGTGATGATGGTAAAATAATTGATGTTGATTATTATATGGGAAAAATCTAATTCAAAAAAAAATGCCACAAAATAGAGTTGCTCCCTCTCCGAATTCTGAAGATGAAGTTGATGAAACTGTCTCATTGCTGAAGAGTCAGAGGTTAGCTGCACAACGACATGATTCTGGGAAATTTGAAATGAAAAAGAATGATTCGGAAATGGTGGAGAAAATTAATCAAGTATCAATTGTAAACCCAATGATTGAAACGAATATTGTTTGTTTGTTCGTTGTTAAATTTGATTTAAAGATTGGATATAGAATTGAATATCAATTTCAAAATGAATCATATCCGATCGATTTGGGAGGTATTGAATTTAAATGTTTACCAAGTGGAACACATAAACTTGATACAGATATTGTCATGTTTAGACACGTGCATAATACACAAGAATTCTTTGGAATGGCTTGTGTAGATATTTTCAGATCGGAGGAGTTGGATCGTGGTTCTAGAATACGAGCTATGGGAGTTATTTGTAATGAATATAGAGGAATGATGGCTCATGCCTCCTTCTTGAAAAAGTTATTGGCCAAGTTGAATAGATGTGACGAAAGTCTAGAGGGAAAGAAAACCCTCTCTGATTGCATTCAAAAATTGAACAATTACTTTACAGCAAATGATTCTTTCAATGGCTCTAAGAAGGTCAGATTATCGGAAATTACCAAAATAGAGATTGATAACCATCTTCATTTTGGATCGTTGGTTTCTCTATTCTATTCTTATAGGGAGAATATTTTCACATTGTGGAAGGCACTCTTATTGAAGAAGAGAGTACTCATCTCTACCAACGTACCAATCGGTTTGAATGGCTGTTCAAAAGTCCATGCCATTCACTTTCTTACTTATTTTGCTCCTCAACAGAATATGCAATATATTGAAAAACATTTTGGAAATGATATTGTGTTTGGATACTATGTCTCCCTCAATGATTATCAACAAATTGCCAAACAGGATCACTATTTGGCCTGTACATGCGATGAAATTCTGGAAACCAAGAAGGAATGCTTTGATATCTTGATCAAGGAGAAGGAAATTATTATTCATGATAAGGAATTGGCAAAAATTCTCAAGAAATCATCAAGTGATGTGGAAAAAACTAAAATGTTAGACGATCTGCTTTCAAGAATTCAACACATGTCACGCACAGAACAGGAATATCTATTCAGAAAATACTTTGCCTTTATCAATAATCAAACAATTTTATTCCTTGCTATGAATGATTCAATCAATAAGAAGATGATTGTCACTGAGAAACAAAGTGGTGCTCTCAGTCTATGTGGAGATGACATTCTATTTGTTAAGGAGTTGGCCGAATTAATTGGATTGGACATTGAATTCTCTTCTGGAAGTTCATTCCTTTGTTGTTGTTAAATATCTCTAGTTGACTAATTTGTGAGTTAAATAATTATGCAGCTCGAGTTCCCAAGTTGTTAAATCCAACTCTTTGCATAGAGCTAATTGCATAAATTCCTTGCTTAGAAAGTTCCAAAACGAAATTGCACTTTACAATATCAAAAAAAAATCTTTTATTACGACAATAACGAATCTATTCAGATTCTCATAGGTTATATAAATTATTTGGAGTCAATATAATAGTTAGAATAGGAACGGCCGACAAAGTTAGAAATGGCACCTTGGATCTCTGGCCACTTCTTAGCGATGTCTTTATGGAATTGCATGTATCCATCTTCGAAAGAGGTGATTCCGTTATGATGGAAATGTAATGCATGGTGATGCTTTTCTGGTTTGAATTGAAAATGAGAAAGTAAGCACTCTCTCCCTTCAAGAATATCAGATATCTTTGACTGACAAAAATACCTGGCACTATCCAAGCCAGGGCACTCATGAATGTAATGGAATAAATCAGATTCTGTACCACAATCGTAACAGAAACTTTTACCCTTACCAAAATTGATATGGGCATTGATGGAATTTCTCCATATAAAGTATTTAGTTTTAGGAGTAAGACGAGTTTTAAGGTATTGCACATTAAGAGAATCCCAACTTTGGTTTAGAATAAAGTTAGGGTTTTCATTCATCTTATTATGTCTTACACTTAAATGTCTTGTTATGGTCATCTTCTTATGATTGAAGATGACAACACCATCCTTAACAAGGAGGTGTGATTCTGAGT